CGCCCGCAGCTGCGACCCCCACACTGGTGACTGCCGCAGCAGCAGGTGAGATGGGGGTCCCCGGGCACTCGCTCCCAGCCTCACCCTACCCCCGGCATCTCCCTCCCATGGAAGGCATCTCACTGACCCTATTTGCTCATGGCACATGAGCTGAAAAATACCCATTAGATAAAATGCTTGGGGTTTGGTATGGTCAGGAACTGGGGACAGAGCAGAAGCTGCGTCCGTGGTTCACCTGAGGGCCCGGCACACCAGGGCAGGGCACCACTGGTGTCTGTTGGCCCGTAGTGCTGTTGTTAATGTATTGGGTGTTTTACATAAGCTTCACAGGTGCTTCTTCTCCACAAGCTAAATATGGACCTTAAGGACATCTAAGTGAGAGGATACCAAAGGCTGAATATAGTTGCTGTTGCAACTTGCTTGTGTTGGACTTGGAGTCAAGCTCTGACTATTATAAGACAGTACATTTAAATAATCCAGTCTCTGGATCTTATAAGTTGCTTTTTTTTTTACCACACTGGGGGTATTTATAGCCTATAAATCCCAATAATTTATTTCAAACCCAAAATGGATTCATGACCCACTCTGACAATACTCAACCTGTTCACCTTCCAAAACTGCTCCTTGCATTTAACATCACCAAGGTGTGCAATCATGCTGGATGGGCTGGTAGTGGCCCTGCTTTCCACTGGCTCCAGGTTGACCATGTCCCTTTCCCTCCAACAGCTCAGATGTGACCTGGCACAATGAAGCACCTCCTTTCCAGGCAGTGCTTAATGAGAGCGAGCCCACCTGGGGCTGGGAGGATGAGCAGGGCTTCTCCGCGCTCCGACACTCCGGTAGGACAGAGGCTTCACATGTGTTTCCCTACCCCATCCCTCCCACCACCAGCCAGTGCAGATAGAGTCTTCTGCACTAGCTTGTAATTAGCACCCTGTCAGTTGAGGGAGAGGATGGATGATCCCCCATTGACATCCTGTGTGACCACCTCCTTCCCCTCCACAAGTTAGAGGAGTCCTATAGCTCATCCCATCAATATGAGGACATGCAAACCCTCTAGGTAGATGCTCCATGCTGAAAGCCTGCACCCAGTGTCTAGGTGTCGGTAAAGAAGGCAAGAGTTGGCTGACTAAATTTGCAGTCCCAGCTCTGAATTTCAAGGCTGGATACTCTCATGTTTTACTTGGCCATCATGTTTTGAACATGTCTTTGTATTCACTAGAACTACTAGATGCTGGACAAACCAGCAACATCATTCAGAGGGCAGGGGTTGCCGCTTGACTGGCAGGTAATTGGGAAACTTCTAACTCAGAATTTATTTTGCCGATACCCACAATAACTTTGGCATCAATTGCAGCTCACGATGCAGTTAGAGATGGCCTAACATTTCAGCTATGGCTTCAGCTGGGGAAGTTATTTCCCTCTTGTCGCCCCAGTCTGGAGGAGGTGGGTGTTATGTGAGGCTGCTGCAAGGCAGGTTGACCTCGCAGCACAGCATCAAGCGTCCTCCCTTGCAATCACTGCATACAAACAGGCAAACGTAATTTCCTCCATCTTCAGAAAGTGACACGATAAAATCTCAAAGATACAATAATTGAGTCAATTGAGAGGAAAGCTCCATCATTTGTCTGGGCAATTTCATTTTAAACGTAAATAAGTATATCACGTTATTCTTTGTTCTAAGATCACGGAAGTCATTAATCTGCCCTAACCTCTGCAACATTTCCTTTTAAAATCTTGTCTGGTACATTATGGTGTGGAAAATACCACAGGGGAAGACATGCGTGTTATTTGCATAACAAGGCAAAATAATAAGGCCTTTGTTTCCCTTCTCTTCAAATTGTAAACAAGGAATAATTGCCCTTGGACTGAGATTGTATATTCAGCCTGGATATGAAAATAGGGCTTTTTTTGCATGGGGTGTGTGGACCATGTGAAAACCTCTCACAGGTCCTGTCTTTTAGAGCACAATCCACAGCCGTTTGCTTTCTTCTCTTTCCCCAGGTAAATGCGAATGTAAAGAGCAAGTTTTAGGGAATCCCATGGTGTTCTGCGGGATGAAGTACACCTACGGTGAGTTGCGGGTGAGGTGGCAGGGACATAAAGGGACGTGGTGCAAGTTGGTCCAAGAGTGTCAAGCGTGAGAGGTGCTGTTGTGTGTACTGCTCCATCCCAGCAAACCCATGGGCTACTCGGTCTGAGGGCAGATCTTTGACCTTTCCAAAATGTATAGCTATCATGGTGCCAAGTCAAGGTGGGTAAAACACCTTGATCTGTTACGCACCATTCTTGCTAACAAAATACCCTTGTGCTAAAATCATGGGAGGACTAGAGCTGTCAGTGTCCCTGAGAGGTTGTCTGGGTCCAAGATAGACTGTAAAGCACTATTGCCAAAAATGGGTCACTGAAACTCCACCTGTAGACCACAGCATGGAAATCACTGAATCTGAATTACACCCAGTGTAAGGATGGATGGTGATCACCACACAAGACATTACACTGAGGAAACACCTCCACCCACTGCAAACTCCCCCCATCAACAAAGTTCAGCTGTTGCAATGGGGTGATGTATATTGTCTATGTGTCTATTGGATCTAAAAGAATGAGAGGAGGCACTTTGTTTCCCAGACCTCTCTGGTGTGTGCCAGTGAACCACCTCCTTCATACCGCAGCAGAACAAGGAATGCTCTGCTTAGCACTCCCATCCTTCACAGTCTTCCAAGGGTCTCTTGCACCTGTTTCATATCACACTGAAGTTGAAAATGCATGGAGAGATAACCCATACCTCTGCAGGCTGCGGAGCAACCCACAAAGGGAAGTTCAAGGGACTGCCAGCTGTTGAAATATAGCCCTGGCTTAGCTATATTAGCAAAAAATCTGATTCTGCTTTGCATTGCTCCCTGGCCACCACAGTGACTGTGTTTAATCTTGCAAAAGATAAGGAAAAAAAGTCACAAAAATCTAAGTTCATAAATCTTATCTAAAGTGCAGTCAGGCTTCCTACCCTTTCATCACTCAACTCGCAAAAGTGTCAGCTAAGCTGAAGAGACAGATGAATTACGGGGCTCATCATGAGCTTCAGGAGGCCATACTGCAGGAAGAGTTTTCCCTGAGCTTCCTAAGCTGCAGTGCTGAATAAAGCACCCGCATATGGTGACACCTACAAGGTGACGCAGGTAGGCACCAGCACAGTCAGGGGGAGGGTCACACACAGGACCTGAACCCTGAGCCTCCACCGTGCAGGGGCTCAGCAGATGGGATACCAGGCAGCAGGAGTGTTCCTGTGGGTATCTGTGAGCTCAAAATACTCCATGGTTTGCCTCAGTCCCCACCAATGTCCTAGTCTCCACCACTCCATTTGGATTTGGCAGTTCTGCAAAGAAGGAGGAATGGCAGCTGGAGTGCTCACCAGGGTGGGGTGAGGGCAGGTCCTCATGCCCCTGCCTGCTGCCTGGCCTGCCCAGGCCAAGACCAGCAAAGCCTCCAGGTCCATCCCTAGAACCAAGGCTTTCCACTTGATTTCCACAAGTGCTAAGGAAGCCAAAGTCTTTTCTGAGTTCCAGGGGAAAATGGGGCTCTCCAAGTTTTGAAAATCAGGTCATTGGACTTCTCCCACTGCTCACATGGCAGGTCCAGGGGTTGTGGCCAAACCAAATGGCAGCATTCCTGGCCACAGGCATTCCTGCCCACAGGTACGGGGATGTATGCACTCCCCTGGCAGTTGACCCTGCATTCCCCAGCAAAGAGCATCAGGCTAACTCCACTGTAGTTAACTGTCCTCATTGCTTCACCCAGACACCCACATTAGACAAAAAAAAAGAGAGCACTGTAAATAGTTTTTACAGTCCTAGTTTTGAACTTATGTCTTCCCAGTGATCAAGACAAAGATCTTGTCAGCTCATGACAAGGGCTCCCATGCAGAGGTCAATGTGAAGATCAAGAAAGTCTTGAAATCTACAAAGCTGAAGATCCTCCGGGGCAAGAGGACACTCTACCCTGAATCCTGGACTAACAGAGGCTGCACTTGTCCCATCCTCAATCCCGGTAGGTTTGACTCCCTGAGCAGTACATCTCCACCTCATTTACACAACTCCATTCCCACTTCTCTATCCCCTCATGCCAGTGAGCTGAGATTGCAGCCCAGAGTCAGGCTGTTACGTCATCTGGATTCCAACAGCAATCTCCATCAAATCTGAGTTTTGCAGAGCTAAACTTGGTTCATTCTACAGACTTTCAAACATACAGTTCTCTTTATGAAGCATAATAGCAGTCTCACAGCTTTATGAGTCTCTATATGTTTCCAGAGCAAGGGAAGTGCCCATCACGCTGCGACTACATGACATATTTTTTCAAAACTAATGCTAACTTGAATCCATAAAAACACATTTAAATCTAATTTGAATCATATTGTCCTGAAGTTCTAATCTAAACTCTCTTTGAAAGTAATACTCATTTGCGTTGGCTTCACAGTTTTTTCTCATCTTCTTTCAATGAAATGGAGTGTAGCTCGCGGTGGCTAAGCAGTGCATGCAGTCCCCGGTACAGACAAGGAGATGCAGACTCAGGGATTTCTTTAACAGCAAAACTAAGCTCCAGCTGACACACCTTTCTTTACAACTCCGAGACAAACCAGCAGTTACCAGCTAATTCAGATAAAGGTTTTTCTTTCCATAAGGCACACACATCACTCGGAAATCACCGATCAAGATGACAGCTTAGTGCTGAGACATCCCTTATGCATGCAGTACTAGGAACTTCCTTTGTGGGGAAAGGGCTGCCTGCGAGGCTGGATAACGCAGAAAGCTTATTCATTGATGAGGTGTTCGCAGTCTTCTTTCATCTCCACCGGAGGGACTGCCTTTGGCTTTGAAGGCAAGGTGCCGAGATTGCAGAGCTGTAGTCAGGAAGTCTTGTCAGGTGCAAGGGTCAGATGAATCAGCAGTGTTAGACAGGACTTTACTGTTATAAGTGCAGTAAGACTTTGGATATTGGTAAAACACCATGAATCTATAATTAAATAGATACAGCTGTTTTATTTTTCCATATGCAAACACAAGCAAGAAAGCCCAGATATGGCTGCCTTAATATGAACCTGGAGGAATGCCATGGAAGCTGTCAGACACTGAACATGCAGGGTAGCCCTGCACCTGACATCCAGCTTTGCAACTCCACTAACTTCAGAGGAACTTCACTGCGAGGAGGTTTTTTCCCTACCAGAGGAAAAGACAGCAGTGATCACAGTATCGATGAAGATCGCTTGGACACCAGCTGAAGGGTGGAGGTGCAAATGTCCTTAGGGACAGTCCAGGCATCTGACATACCAGGTGTTACTCCCTTGCCAGCTCTCATGATTTACACTCCAGAGCTTGGTATTGTCTTGAAATGTAGCTGCTGGCATCCTGTGAGTGTAAATTAATCTCAGCTCTCACATTAGAAAGAAGCTGTGAAGTTCGGTCTTAATGGGAAACTTGAAAACATCAACTGAGTGTGCATCTTTATGATTCAATCATTTCAAAGGGGAAAAAAAGGATCCCAGATAGTTTTTTAAATCTCATTATTTTCTTTAGCTACTACATCCATTTCTGAATGGTTCTAAATATACTGTATTAGCAGATTTAACCTTCTCTCAGAGTAAGAGCTTCTGACTTCCAGATGAATAAATCAACAACAGCCAGATAAAACACCAAACTGACATAAAACAATTTCCTGACATACAATGGAAATCACATCTCCCAGAAACATAGAGGAGATCAAAGATAAAAATAACAGAAAGACAGACATATTTTTATTCTGTCTCACAACACAGGAGGGATACCAAAAGGAGGGTAGACTCTTAACGTCTCTGTCAAGAAATAAAACCCCACAGCAATATTTGCTTGCTCTGTGAAGGTGTATGCCACATTTCTCTCTCAAGGAAGACAGATTTAGGAGCCCTTGAAAAGTGATGTTCATAACAGCAGGACTGACATGGCCAAAATGAATGTCTTGAAAAGGGTGATACTGCCATACACATATCCTGTGTTTACTTGGCAGAAGAGAGGGTGTGAGTGCCCAAAAACTCTGTATTGAATTAAAGAAAAACATCCTTGAACTTTAACTAGGGGACACTTTATTGTGAGCTACAAAATGAAAACCCAAGAAAACATAAGCAGAATCCCTACTGCAGCCAGGATGGAGTGGGATGACTGAGAGCACTGAGGGAGAACCATCTCCCCCAGGCCAGTTAGTACTGCCATATGGTGCTCCCCACCCTGGGGAGGGCTACAGGGCGGTCTCATACTTGCTGTATCCATCCCAGTCATGCTGCAGCAAGATGCTGTCCATGGCTGGGAGCTCCTTCTGCCATGGGAGAAATTATCCTCCTTGTTTTCCCCATTTATGGCACATTCATGTCCCATTTAGGCTGTTGGGATCTGTGGCAGTGATTCTTTAGCTAATTCAAACCAAAGGCTTCCCTCCATCTCCCCACTTAGCAGTTATTGCTTGGTTCTAAGCATGCTTTGGGACATGCCCTGAAAGCCAAGCTCAGACCTGGATGGCTGGGGCAAGCCCGGTGGCAGGGCATTGCAGGACCACACTCCAGCCCATTCTGGCAGTTTCTGGACACCAGATGGGGCTTCACCAGACACTGTTGTCAGGTCTCTAAGCATCAGGTGGAGGCAGAAATTAATGCATCTCTTTTCAGTGTGGCTGACACCCCCCCAGGCTTTTCTGAGGTGTTAACACCAGCAAATCTAGTATTGCCTGTCCTGGGGGTCTGGCGTGTCTTTACCTGCAAGGGGGCACCAGCCATTCTGAGCAAGGCACCAGCACTGGGCCATCCTGCACTGTCATTACTGGAACACACTGAATTGACCAGTTTCCAGGCAGGTATTCAGGGTGAGGCAGGTGGCTGCCAAATGAAGGTAACAGCAGTCACAAACAAGGAATAAAAACTTACAGTGCAGCCCCCAGAGTTCTGCTTCCATTTATATTTAGAAGGTAATAAAATCAAGGTTTGTATAATCCATCTTACTGGCCGATGTGTCACAGGGGTCGTTTTCCCATAGATACAGATATACATATATATGAGAGAATCAATATGTATAAATGTTTCTTTGTATAAGTCCTTTTTTACATGGGACTAGATATCCAAGCTGACCTTGCAGTGCCAATAGACCTCTTAAGTGTGGTGCTGTGCAGTCCCTGACCACTTCGCTGGTTTGCAGGCTTGGAGTACCTTGTGGCGGGACACGAGGACGTCCGAACAGGCAGACTCATCGTCAACATGAAAAGTTTTGTCCATCAGTGGAAGTCAGCTCTTGGAAGAAAGGTCCTGGAGATTTTGAAAAGAGTCTGCAACTAGAGGTGTGTGACTGCCTTGGGCATCTCTTTATGCACAAAATGCAACAGCCTTCACAGAGAGAAGACCTCTAGGATGAAAACTGGAATGTAAGAAAATAGTGCCAAAACATGTAGCGAGGCATTCAGAGTTGTAGGTGCTGTCTAATTTAACCCTTCCTGGCCAATGTTCATTCACATGCCTGTAGCTTCCTTGCCAGGGGTTTGCCTGAGCCCAGCTCATGGTTACATTGAGGGAAACAAAAGGAAGGGCAACGCTTGTCTCACCGTAGTGTGATGTTGGAGCAACTCCTATGAAGCCAGTGATCACCCCAAATTGCCACCCTAGAGAGGGAAAGCGTGCCCACGAGCTACAGCTGAGAAGCAAAGCACCGCTGCCAGTGCCACCAGCAGGGATCCTGAGTGACTTCCAGAGGCTCCTGGTGGATGCTGTGGGGAAGATGATGGCTGCAGCGGCAGGTAGGCACTGGCAGAAGCATGGCTGTGACAACCACTCTTAAGAAACATCCCCTTGGGTTAAGACATGGCTCCCATTAAAGAGAATCAGGTGTCACTTGCTTATAACCTGGTCATCCCACTGAAGGTTTTGGGGGCTAAATTCTCTGCTGGTGCTGGCGGGGACAGAGCTGCCAGAGTGAATCAAATCCCTCTGCCTTGGCACAAGCATGACACAGGGCAGAGGCCAGCTCTACCCCCACCTCATGGCTGCAGAGAAGAGCCAGCTCCAGAGGGTGCAGCATCTCTGAGCTTTTGTCCTTGAAGTGTTAAAAAATGAACCTAGCCCTAGTGTAAATATTTCATTGTATAAAGCACTTTACTACCTGCCACTTCACAGTGCAGGAAGTCTAATTGTGTTGGGGAAAGAAGAGGTTGAAGGTGGCACATGAAAAAACTCCCTGAAACAGAAGCACTCCTGAAGACCCCCCAGTTGGACGGCATTAATGGTATAAAGGGAATGGCCAGCCTGGCACTGGCCACTCAGAGTATCTGAGGATGCAATCTGAAAGATACAGTATTTGCACTGAAGTCCCAGCTTCAGACCAGCACTTGGACCCCATGGGCAGGACTCCAGCGAGACTTCGCTAGCAGTGGGAGAAGAAGAAGAGACTTTGAGATGAAAAATGCAATTGCTAGAGGAGAAAACCTCTGCCTGCAGGAAAAGGAGAGGATATAGAGAAAGGACTCACACTCACATTCACATATCAAAATCCAGCGATTCATGGTGGGCCTGGAGTTTGTTTTATTTTTATGTTAGTATTTAAGACTGAACATTTTATTTGTTCTCTTCTGTGTTATTGTTTGCAATATATACCGCCATTATACTTCCTCATTAACACCAGTATGGGATATAGCACAGTTTACTGCAGTTTTCAGCACTAAAATATATCTTTTCTGTAAAGCATGTTTAAACCACATTGCATAGAGTGTATTTTATTCATGAGTGTGAGGGGAAAGAAAAAGAAGACATACAACACCGGAAAAGTCATGAGTCTACCAATCCGCTTTATGTATGTATTTTTCTTTCAAGGTCCTGTGGACTCACAAAAAAATGATACTATTTTGGTAATTTGTTTTTGTATCTCATGTATGTAATAAACATAATATGATTTCAACTTCTTCACCTCCTGTTACTGCTTATGCCACTGGCAATTCAGTCTTCATGCCTGTGCTAAAGAGGATAGCAAAGATGGTGCTGGGGAAGGAGAAGCTGCCATGGGGGTATTTTCTTCTCTGGTGGATTAACATTCACCATGTAGTAAAAAGTCAAGTAGCATGGTTCCAGACATCCCATTTCACCCCTGTTTTGGAGGGCTTGTAATCTCTTCTCATAAGAAGGGGAATTATTGTACCTAAATATTTTCAAAGCTGGCCAGATCCTGCATCCATGCAGGCCTGATGGCTAAGCTGCAGAACACTTATCCATAAAAAGCAAGCTGGGGATGGCAGAGATCAGGCTCAGTCCTACATTTCAAACTGCAAAGGGTAAAAAAAAAGGCTGTGGGAAATAAGCACCATGGCAAAAGGTCTATAAAAACACTGAGGAGTGAAGTCAAGCATCAGAAATGAGTGGCCGGGGGGCCACGGCGTAACCCGCAGCGTGGGCAGGCAGTTAACCAGTGACTGCCAGGGCACCACGCTGCAGCAGCACGCATGTCCCCAGCGGAGGAGAGGGCAGGGAAAGACTCCTCCTATGGGGACACTTGGAGACTAAGACCTTCTAATATCTCCATTTCAGTTTGAAACTTTGCAATTTTACCTGCTTGACATGTTTCTAGCTTCATTTATTTCAATGTCATTAAAACTACATTTGCAACGGATAGTTAATTAATGGGAATAAGATGTCTGTCCCTGCCCACCTGAAGAGTAGATTTATTCATTGACGACTCCAGGAATAGCAATGCCTTGACCAGTCCTGCTGTGTGACAAAAATCAGTGGCAGGAAAACCAATCCAGTCATAATCAGAGGTGGCAGCAGCATCCACAGAAGAGTCTTTTCTTCCAGAAATATCCCTCTGGCCTTACAGACAAGAGCTGCTTATGCAGGCAAAGCCAGCAGCTTCCCAGAGGCTGGCTGAGCTGCCCCTCCATGGACTGTGCTGCCCCTGGCAAGAGGTGAGCGTAGGTGAGTGCTGAGGTTTCAGGGACCAAATGATGGCAGTATCACTGGGATCTGCAGCAGCTCTCCCTAGAGCATTCCCATGCTGCCCTCATGCCTCACCGCACCTAAAGAGCAAGTACCTCCCAGCTGCTGAAGGAAGCATTGGAGTCTGCAACCATCCCTGTTTCCAACGCAGGAGGCTAGATTTAAGCAGTGGCTGTGGGCCAGTGATAAGGGCTAGGGCTGGCTGCCAGAGCCCCCATGCTCCTGGTTGTCTGTCAGCATCGCAGGAGTGACTCAGTGATATGCACTTGGGCTGCAGGAGGTAAAGTGGGTGTCTTGGACCCAGCTACCAGCACAACACAGACCCTAAGTGTACATGGCAAGACAGCCCCTCCAGTGTACCTACATATGATCCAAACCTGTATTTCCCCAAGACACTCATGGAAGACCTCTTTCACCCTTTCTGGTGGGTTCGCACATGAGCTTTCAGCAGATGCTTTGGCACAGAGAAGGGAACACCTAGCCCCAGGTTTTCAGTCCCTCCTTGCACTCTCCAAGCCCAAATCCCCCACCGCCCAGGAGGTCTCCTCCATCCTCAGCACCTCCCAGACCAAGACCCGGTGGGCTGCAGAAGTGGTGAATTCTCCTGCCATGGTGAGAGCCGGGTGAGGGCTCAGGGCTGTGCTGGCTGCACGTGTGTGGGTCCAGTCCGTCCCCAGAGGAGCACAGTCTTCCAGTTGCAGTGGAAAATTACAGTCGTGTTTAATATAGTTGCTCCAGCGGGCTAAATCTTCTGGGATATGACCATGTTGCTGGTCATATGACCAAAAATGACAGAACATCTGGTATTACCGGCCTGCCTAAATGGAAAGCCGGGCTGGTATGGGTAAACATAACAACTTGGGAACAAATAGCTGCAGTATTATTATTTTTTTTATCTTTATTTTTAGTTATCATATTGACTTCAGTATCAACACTGGATAGAAGAAACATCTCAAAAATGTCCGGTGGCTGCTGCTCCAGCACCCAGAGGAGCCCTCTCTCTAATAAGGCAGGAGGAGATCGGCTGCCTGTGGGCCTTCTGGACTGATGTGTTGATTTTTCGATGACGGTGTTTCCAAAGCATGCCCTAGCCCACGGGTCACAGCTTCTTGCCGCTCTTTTCCCACAGATCAGCACAGAAACATCTCAAATGCTTTTTATTGCTTCAAGGGAAGGCAGTGAGGCCCCGGCAGGGCTCACAGGCTGGGAAATATACTATATATGGGAAACTTGTTGGCATATTAAAAATGTTACTGTGGCCAAGAGTCCAATGTGCCGTGGCAGGCATCGGGAGAACCTCTCTCTGTGCCCAGCCCAGCTCCAGCCTGTGCCCACCTCCTCACTTCTCTGTCATTCTGGTGGGTCCTTTGGAGCAAATACAATGCTGGGCTGCTTGCAGTTGTGATGTGCTCATGAGTGTGATGTGCCCACAGGTGTCATGTGCTCATGGATATGATTAAGCCCAATTGATGCCCATAGCCCAGGGAAAAATTTAACATGCCCAAGCTTTGTTCCCTGAAATGTAATCTGCAGTTCAAGGCATCCCCAAGCTCTACCTGGACACTTTCTCAGCAGTAGAAAACGCATAGAAGAAGTTGTCAGGATGCTGAGAGGTATAGGGGGAGTGTAGGTGCGGGTACAGGTGTGTGTCTGTGCATCCCCACACGACTGTTCACTGTCGTTTCCCAGATGGTGTTTTCTCTGCTCAAGTCTCCAAGCTCCCCCTAACCAGGCAGGTTGCTCACACTGCTGGCATTTCTTTCTTTGACCTCTTCTCTCCATCTTACATTAAAGTTATACAATTACACTTACGTATACACATATATAGAAGTTATATACACTTATTGAGCAGAGGACATGGATTTAAAGCCATCTGGAAACCTGGGCTGACAAAAGGGCCTCAGATCTGTATGAAAATTGCTGAGAAGAATAAAATTGCTTCCTAAACCAAACGTCAGTGAAGGTTCCCTGAACTGGCTTGCTGTGGACATGGATATGCACCTCTTTGAGCAGGTGCAAAATGCATACCAGCTCCAGGCTCAGGACACACACTGAGGTACTGAAACACAGGAAAACCAGATCAAAACCAAGCCACTGCCCATTAGGCTGGTGTGAACCTGGAGTAAAGAACATTGCTCACTGTTTTTCCCATGCCTGAGTCACACACGCCACCCCTACCTGGTTCAGTAGGAGATATTTCTAACATTATAACCTTAAAACGTATACCTGTAAAACTGCAGTTGCTCTCTGTCTCTGCTCTTCATCAGAGCTCGCCTTTGTTTGCACCAGGTGCAACTCACATCTGGACCCTGAGCATTGATGTAGCCTCTGTGTGGTCAAATCTGCTGCATAATCTCTACTTGGCCTTTATCAGCATAACACCTGTAGGAGGTAAGGAAACATGATTTCAGGTACACAAGCAAGGACTGGAGGTCTACCCCACCTAACATGAGGTGCTGCTGGCAGATGACAATTGTGCAAGGATCCCCCGATCCCTCCAGGGTTGCAGAAGAGACCCAGGAGCAGCCCAAGGGGCCAAAGCACAGCTGTCCAGCTGCCCATAGCACAGTCAGGCGGCAGGAAGATGCACAGGTACTTCTGTAGCTCAAAGAGCAGCACCAAGATGCTCTTGGTGGAAGAGATGAGGATTAAACCCAATCTCTGTAGGTGCAGGGAAGTAAACAAAGCAGGGGCCTGGGCAGGGACATCAGCACGTCTGCAGCTGTGGCCAAATGCAGGGACAAGGGACCCCAGTGGTGGCAAATGAGGAAGTTTTAGCCATCACTGCCATTGCCCCTTGC